ACACACACACACACACACACACACACACACACACACACACACACACACAATAGATCAATAAAAGACATAGCTTTAATACTGATAATTATAAGAGATTAATCACCTTTGCAATTCAAACTTACAAATCTGTAATATTAAGGCATAAATTTATCTCAATTTTTATTCTGTGTGAATATTTTGCCTGCATGTATGTCTAGTACCCAGAGAGAACTTTAAAGTAACAAATAAAATTAAAATGGTTTTATAGGTTCAGTTAAATTTGTGCTTGGTGTTATTACAACTGCTGCTAATTTTATTTTAATAGTATCATATGTTAATTCTACCTTATGTTTTAATATCATAAATAATAAGTTATTTAAATTTTCTATATATATATTACTTATGATAGGGCAACCAACCATATATAGCAAAGTGTTTCAAATGTTGAAGGTTTCAATTTTTTGAGATATAGTCAGGTTTTATAGTAAACAGCCAGATATTTCATGAGGAAAAAAACAAACACCAAAAATAGCTCCTAAGTTTCTCTCAAAACTAAACAAATATGTATTTCTCCTTAGACATGAGATCACTAATTAAAGTAGATAAGGATTTATTATACATTCTTCCTATTATTACCTTACCCTCAGTAAGTCTCTCCCGTATATGTATAAATTACACTACTCACTTAAGTAATGATCAATTCTCAATTTTCTAAAAGTTAAATTAACCTTTGTTAATATAATGACTCAATGATTTGGATAAGGCCAATTCATCCTGACATGGTCTCCAACAAAGATCTAACCTAACAATGCTTTATCTCCAAATGTCAGCCAAAAAAACGAATGAGACTATATCCTACAACTTTAAATACTCCCGTACTGAACTCCTTGAAAAAGATAAACTAATTTTATAAGCAGTTCATATTAGAACATGTACATATCGGTGATGTGTGAAGGAAAAAGTGGGACAAGACAGGAGAAAAAGATGAGAAAAAGCATAGTGCTTCAAAGATACACCCCAGCCCTCTTAATGTACTTTTACAGACGCTTTTCTGGAAGCAGCTCTTTTCACAAATTAAAATAATCATCGTAGACAAGACAAACACTAGTCTTTTCCTCAACTGACCTTTTCAACCAGACTTTCATGCTTGTCTTTAAAGTCTTCATTGACATCCAGTGTGAGGATAGGCACCTCTTGAAGATAATCAAAGTTGGTTCTGTTTAAAAGGAAAAATGAACAAAATCAGAAAAGCACTAAATCCAGGAAAAACACTGAAAAACAATTCATATAATTCAAAAGTCAAAATATTGTCAATCTTTCTAGACTAAAGTTTTCCTGTAGTGAAGCGCTGGTGGTCTCTTTACATTCAGACTTACTGCTCTGTATACAATTGTTCCAGTTACAGAATGTATAAAGCTAGGCATTATGATATGTCATTCCTCAAAAGCAAAAGACATGAGAAAGGTTTTATATTTTAGTGATAAGGGTGCTCCTGGTGTTGTATGGTTGTAGGGGGCTTGCCTAACATGTCCAAGGCAGTGGGCTCCATTCCCAACACTGCCAAGAAACAGAGGAAAACTAAGCTCATTCAGAGCCTCAGGTGCTGTGCAGTTACATACTGCCTAAGTGCCGACTGACACAAAGTTTATGCCATTAACCGCTGGGGCCCATAAAAATGTCTCTGCTTCCTCTTGACTTAAGATCAGAAAGTTGAAAACTATCCTTACTCTTCCTAGGTTAATGTTAATAAGACCTAAAGGTCTAAGGCAAAGCGACTGTAGGATGTGGATGTGGATGTGTTACCTAAATAACAAGAGATTTAGTCTAAGGCATGGTTATTAAATGTTTGGAGAATTAAGGAAGAAAGTCTGTTTCTTCCTTGTATCTTGATAAAGAAGTCTTTTGCCATTTTCCCCCTTTTGGCTGGGGTATATAGGAATGTTGAATAAACTTGGCGCGTTCAGTATTCACTGGGTTGCCCTCCTGACTCTATTCTGTGTGCCTATCTTTTCCTTATTATCTTTACCTGCCGTTTTCTCAATCCACACTCCCCCTTCTCAGGTACAAACGGGGCAAGTCAGCTGGACCTGACTGAAGCCCCCCAAGGACGGGTTTCTAAAATTAACTAGGCTACTATCTCCCAAGCCATGACTGAAGACACAAATTTAAACTATAACCCAGTAACTTCTCTTGGCCATTTGGGATACAGTCCAGGATTCCCACTAAGATTGAGATCACAGGTAACATCCACTCCACTCTGTAATGCACTGTTTTTCTTACACATAACATACATATAAAACTGTAATGCTTTCTACCTTAAAACTGCCATTTCCTGTCCCTAAGTTGAGAACTTTCCCTTTTCCATTTAAAGGGCATCATAGCTCTATTCTCTGGCATAAGTTTGCGAGTGTCCCTCACTACTCTAGCACTTCTGAACTATTCATGAGTAAGACAAGGGACACTTGGTTACAGCACTATCACATGTGACGCTCAATCTCAGAACAGTTACTAAATGACTATCAAGCACATCCTGCATATGCCTAGACAGGCTGGACAAAGTGACAACTCATATCCTGGGCACTTCTGGGTGGAACAGGATAGAACTGGACAGCAGTGTTTCAACACTACTCAGAATGGACATTGATGTTGTCTGGTGTGGCCTCAAGCTCCTGGGCTCAGGTAATAGTACAGTCCCAGCCTCCCAGGAGACAGGACTACAGACAGGCACAGCCAACATAGCAAGCAACTTTAAATTCATGAATTCTTTCTGAAATTTCACATTTAATATTTTTGGAGTAAGGCTAGTAATGTGTAACTGAAAATATAAAAATTAAAGCAGAATATAACATCAGACTATAGCTCCTTAAAGCTATTTCTGAGTCTATCTTAATAATATACATAGACATAGCCTTACTTTATCACCTCAAATAAAAATATGATTAGAAGATACTAGTTTCAAAATCTTCAAACAAGTGACTTGAAAATATGAATAAATACATGAATAAAAATAAACATTTGGCCAGACGGTGGTAACACACACCTTTAATCCCAGCACTTAGGAGGCAGAGGCAGGCGGATCTGAGTTCAAGGCCAGCCTGATCTATAGGGTGAGTTCCAGGACAGTTAGATCTACACAGAGAAACCCTGTCTGTCTTGAAAAAAAAAACAAAGAATAAAAAATATATTTGTACATTGTTACTCATATCATCCAGCTTCTAGATTAAAATGTGATAAGGGAACCACAGTGAGCAGCAAACAGTAAGAAAGTCTTACTTCAGTGTCCGATGAAGGAGCCAGCTCTCGTGTTTATAGTGCAGTTTCTCTAAATATTCAAGAGGAATGCCTTGTTCTTCATCTCTTCCCCGTAAATATATTCTATTTAGGCATTTCTAAAAGCAAGCAATAAGAAAAATTCAAGTAACTATAAAGGGTGTATTTCTTGGGGAGCTCTCTTAGCTGAAAACAACAAGATCTCTATGTCTCCTTGCAAGTGTGCCACTATTTATTTGTAACAAGTCACAAGTAACCATAAAACGCTTCTTAAAGTGACCCTCCAACAGTTGTGGTAGTCATATAGCAAGCATCAGTTAAGTTTCCACTATGTCCCAGACCTTCTACTGGGACCTAAAAATCCAATAGTAGCTACAATATTTATCCAAAGGTCCTCATCAGTAAACCTGTATTTTAGAAGTTGCTTTGGCAAGTCTCTTATTCTAACTCTGAGGGGATGAGAAGCTGAGCAAGTTAAGAATTAGGACCAAAAAAGATAGGACTGGTGAAGAACAAAGAAGACCAAACTCACTGCATCTAGATTCCTAGTTTGCTAAGAAAGTCTGCACTGCTCTGAGTTTCTAGGAGATAAACTAGGAGTTGATTTTATTTATTTATTTTTAATTTTATGTTTGTGAGTGTTGGCTGCAATATGTCTGGCCACCTCATGTGTATAGTGCCCAGAGGGGGCCAGAAGAGGACGTCAGTTTCCCAGGAACTGGAGTTACAGATGCTTGTGAGCCACCACGTGGATGTTGAGAATTGGACATGGGCCCTCAGGAAGGTTAGTTCTTTTAACCACTAAGACATCTCTCCAGCTTGGAAGATGGTTTTAAATTGTCACTCTTATATCCATCTTGTAACTTGACATTACTTTAAAATCTCAATGGCACAAGCAATTGTTTATAGGTCTCACCTCTGGAGTAGCTCGAAGATAAATTATTCCATCCAGTTCCAGGCTTTGGCCAAACTGGCTATTCATCCAGTCATGCCAGTCCTGATATATTGTCCACTCTGTTTCATTCATGCAGTCAGATTCATACAAATTAGATGCAAAAATATATCTGAAAGAGAATCTTCATCAGCATATATGCCCTTTCAAACAGATACACAACTCATAAAAGAAGAAACGGGCATAAAACACACTCCTCAATCCTGTAGCAACAAGGGCCTTGGAAAGCATACTCAAAATGTCTTTCCAAGTATAGGAAATGGCTTCTTTGTCAATAGATCTCAAAACACTGGCTAAGGATCCCTGGAGATCCCCAAGCTCCTTCCAGTTACCTCAGACACTACTATACTTCAACCAAAACACACATTCACATATATAAATATTCAAACACGGATAAAAAGTTTTATTAATTCAGACATTAAAGAGCTACACAAATGTAAAGCTATGCTACTCTTATCACTATACTTGTTTTAAAACCTTTTATCAGAAATTTCTACATTAATAGAGTATGTTTCTGACTGATTCATTTTATATTTGTATATTGACTGTATAGACTCTCAACTTTAATTTCTAATAATATAGATATCAAATGACAAAATTTTTTAGACTACTTAACAGTGAAAGGAAAGGAATCCTGAGACCAAAAACTAAGATAACTAAGGAAGTAAAAAGGCAGGGTAATTCTAAATCACCTGTAGAAATTTTTAATTTTTATCTCCTTCTTCTAGTTGAGAATCTAAGGATATAAATCCAGATATAATCAGAACAGATGAGAATTCTAAAGGGTTGGGAGGAAAAAGGGACTCTGTCCTAAAGTCATTAGAGCCTGAATGCTAAAGGTATTTTTTCAGTGTCATTTTCTATCTAAAATCTCCAGGTCAGCCTCTAATTTGACTACCAGGAAATGAGAAAAAAAAATTGTCTAGTTTAAACTCCAAACAGCCAAATATAAGCCATTTGCATACCTGTCACTGTACACAGATCGTTCAAAAAATAATACGGGTTTCTCTGCATCTTTGAGCTTGCCGTTGAGAGAGGCAAGCTGAGCTCGGATCCGGCTGAGGCAGGCATATGATTGGAAGGTAAAAGACCATCGCTCGGGTTTCTGGTACATCATTTGAAGAACATTCCCACCACTTTTCTGAGATGTTGTCAATTCCTATTTTAAATTGGCAAAAGAAACAACAACAACAACAACAAAAAATGATTGCCTATAGAGTTACTTTAACTTTTTTGTGTTTTTTGAGACAAGGTCTCACTATGTAGCTTTGGCTGTCCTGAAACTCAGGATAGAGACCAAGCTGTCCTGGAACTCAGAGACCTCCACCTGCCTCCCCCTCCCAAGTGTTGAAATTAAAGGTGTGTGCCACTATGCCACAGTTATTTTTAAGAGGTTCAAAAGGAGAAATTGGGTAGAAGGGTCCTGGAGAGAAGGCTCTGTGGTTAAGAACACTTGCTCCTCTTAGAGAAGACACAGATTTGGCTCCCAGCATCCACGTAGTGGCTAAAACTGTAATTCCAATTCCAGAAGATCTGACACCATCTTCTGGTCTCATGGCCACTGCACCCATGTGATGCAGACATATATATAGGCAAAACACCATATGAAATAAGTAATTCTTTTTTCTTAAAGAAAGAAAAATTCATAAATACATTATTAGCAAGACAATTAAATTCCTTCTCCTTACTCTTTTCTAGTGTATGTCTTTCATTACTTGAGGTCTAAAATAACCCTTAGCTCTTTCTCACAATTACTAACCTACAGAAAAAAAAAATACTTAAAAGCTAAACAAAAATATTTGATTCACACATTCTCTTTTAAAAAGGAAAAGATAAACAGTGCTGTTGTACTCATACTGCCTTCTCAGAATAATCAGAATAATCATCTCTGGCAAGATTAAAGGAAGTGCTGGACACCCCAGCCTGATGACACCAGATCCTTGGAACCTATACAAAGGTGGAAGAACACCAGCTCCAAATAGTTGTCATCTGATTTCCACACTACTGTGTCAAATGCATGCCCCCACACCACCACATATACATACAAATTTTAAAGAATCAGCTACATGGAGGCTGGAGCAATGGCTCACTGGTAAAGAGCACTGACTCCTCTTGTAGAAGACTCGGGTTCAGTTCCCCGCACCGAAATGGCATCTCACTATAACTCTTTCTGGGAATCTGACCTCTGCAGGCACCAAGTACATATATGATACACGTACATACACATAAAATAAAATAAAAAAATCTATAAAAACTCAGCTACAGCTAAGTCACACATGCGGTCTCTCAGGTAACACACATACACACTCAGTTCAATAGCTCCCAACATTCCCAAATTTTCTGATTTTCTAACAAATCAGACTTAAGGGTGCTCTTCCACTTACAATGGGGTTTTGTCCTTATAAAACATCCTAAACTGAAATTACCAAAGGGTGAAAAATACTTCAAAGCTTAAACAGATATACACTATGTAAACTTCTCATTGCCTGGAGTCACTCTGACTTCACTGCTGGTTTCTAGTAGAAGAGAGTGTCATATCACATTCCTCCAGTCTAGGAAAATTCCAAATACAAAAACCAAAGTACACTGACTATTGTATGTGCATATTTCACAACATCATCAAGTTAAAAAACTATTATAAGCTGGACCATTGTAAATAGAGCTAAATAGAAGACTGGATGTATTCATTTACTGCCTGGGCCTTTTAGGTATGAGTTTGTAACTAACTCCAATCTTATAATATGACAGAACAGAACAGAGCTCCAAACTTGCAATTAAATAGCCATGTTGTTAGTACCATTTTTTCAGCATTGAGAAAAAAACATAAGCATAAAAAATTAGTTTAAAATTATTTCATCTTAAATAGGAATTGCAAATGGCATCTAGAATTAATGTTTTGGCAGCTCAGTCTGCCAAAAAGCTTATGAACAACAACAATCCTGTAGAACAATCAGAAATGCCATCTAGACTATGACGTTTTAATATTTTTCCCGATGAAAGGTGTTCTGTATCAGATTCCAAGTCTGGAAGCTGGACTTCATACACCTTGTTCCAGTAAACAAAGAAACCATCAGAGATCTCCTGGTACTGCACAAAGCAAAAAGCCAACACAAAAAGGGGCTTCTATTTGTTAAAAAAAAATCTGGACATCCAAAAACATGGAAGTTAATAATCTGTGAGTTCACAGTACTTAAAAAAAGAAAAGCCAAAAAACTTGTCATTTTTGGAGATAGTTAAAGCATCCATTATCTATTCTGGAAATCTGTAAGTAAAATGAAAACAAAAAAAAAAAAAAATCAGCCAGGCAGTGGTGGCACATGCCTTTAATCCCAGCACTCAGGAAGCAGAGGTAGGCAGGTCTCTGTGAATGTGAGGCCAGCCTGGTCTACAAAGTGAGTTGCAGGATAGTCAGAGATACACACAGAAACCCTGTCTGGAAAACATATAACCAACAAACAAAAAGGAAGCAATTAAATCAAAGCTTTGGGACTACACCATATAAATCACCGAAGAGAGTAAATTACTGTTGTAAATGAGTCTGTAAAACAGAGACTAATAATAATCATCTGCTGTTCTTCAAACTCATTTTTGCTGTGATTCTGGGGATGAAAAGGAATCCAGGTAATCTGTACTTTACCGTGTCTTATTCTGACAAGACTTCTGGTAGCCCATTAGTACCACAGTAACATTTCAGCCACTAGATGGCAGGTTAAAAAAAAACACTAAATAAACAGCTACAACCAAATAAGCTAAGAATGTGAATAGACAAGTAGTTACTGAGGGAAAAGAGGAAAAGCACTAATGCCAAGTTATTCCTGTTCTACAACCTCCAAGAAAAATAAGCAAAATAAGATCTAAAGGAGGACTGGCCAGTTAGGACAATCCACTCCTCAGTGCTGACAGCATTATGACACAGCTAAGCTGGGCAGTGGTGGTGCATGGCAGAAGCAAGCGGATCTGTAGTTTGAGGCCAGCCTCCTGCTCTACAAAGCAACAGAGAGAAACCCTATCTCAGACCACCCCCTACCCTCCCCTGCCAAAAAAAAACCAAAACAAACAGACACAGCTAAGATTTAGACACTGGGTAATTCAGACTATAACTACAAAGAGCAGATCAAGAATGAGTTGAAAAGGGGCTCCATGAAGAATAAAACCCATTTCATTTGTGTTGCTAAGGGTTAAACCCAGGACCTTGAGCACGCTAGTCAAGCAATCTACCATTGGGCTACATTCTAGCCCTTAAAACCTCATTTTCTGGAATCTAGTAAAACTCTGGGGGTGGAGAGTAGAGACACTATTCAAAAATGCAGAGAAGCCATCTACCTACTTCATGTTTCATGTTTCACATTATCCACAAAATACTGTTTCCCACATTTTCTGAGCCCTACTTAAAGTGCAGAAGACCATAGCCTCCAACTCATACATAAATATTAAGAAAATGAATTCCATATGGGGAGGAAGTCCCTTTAAAGTTTAGTACTTGATATTTAAAGGACTGGGATATATTTAGTTGTGCCCCAGCCTAAAATTAACTATGCTTTGCAAATAAAAGTGTAAGAAATATTTTTAGTTATCAAAACCTTATATCCAAAAGAACACCAAAAAAACCCCCCCCCCCCCCGCAAAAAAAAAAAAAGGAAAAAATTCACAAATATCCTATGAGGGCTACTTTTATGTCAATTTGACACAAATTATAGTCATCTGAGAGGAGGGAACCTCAATTTAGAAAATGCCTCCATTAGATCTGGCTGTAGGCAAACCTGTAGGGTATCTTCTTAATTAGTAATTGATGAGGGAAGAGCCCAGTTCATTGTGGATGGGGCCATCCCTGGGCTGGTGGTCATGGGTTCTATAAGAAAGCAGGCTGAGCAAGCCATGGGGAGCAAGCCAGTAAGCAACACTCCTCCATGCCCTCTGCATCAGCTCCCTCTTTCAAGTTCCTGCCCTGCCTTCCTTAGATGATGAATTGTGATGTGAAAGTGTAAGCCAAATAAACCTTTACCTCCCAAAGTTGTCTTGGTCATGGTATTTCATGACAGCAATAGTCACCCTCGCTAAGACAATCTACAAAGGCTATAGGTTCCTGTTATTGATTGTCCTTATATATATATGACTTACATTTTAAATACCCAATAATTCCCAGAAACCCTCACATCAATAACTCTTTTTTTTTTTTTTCAGACTGAACAATTTTCTGGCAGACCTTTCCAATTTCTCTACTTTCAATTTCACTTCTCCAGAAATGAAAACTCTTAGCAATCATTATCACAGACAACTGTAGGGAGACACTGTAGCCCTGCCTCCTAGTAACCCGTACAGGTAAAGCCTGTCCCTCACACCCATGAGGGTGTGGTGAGGGGAAGTCTAAGGTGACGCAGGACGGTTCTTAAGGGACCGAGCACATGTGGAGACTCTCTCTTCTCCCTGCTCCCTTCTCCTTGCTCTGGCCTGGCTGCCTTTGGCTTGCGCTTGGCTGGTATATCTGAATAAAGAAAACCTTGGCCTTGCTGACTGCGGATCGATCGCTCCACAGACAACCATAACTTCCACTATGAAAAAATGAAATTTCCCCTATTCTCTGATTTGCAATGCTGTATTGAAAGGGGCTAGTAAAATGAAACATGTCCAGAATGAAAGTTTGTGAAGAATGATGGTACAATTCAAAGAAATAAGAATATAAATGGATTTTCACATGACAAAGGGCTGAAAAATTCAGACAGGGTTTCTCTGCGCAACAGCTCTGGCTGTTCTGGAACTTGCTTTGTAGACCAGGTTGGCCTCAAACTCACAGAGATCCACCTGCCTGTCTCCCAAGTGCTGGCTGGCTGCCTGGCTGCTGTAAGTTTTTAAACTTTTAAAACCTTTTAAACTTTGCTATAATAGTGCATAAATCTTACATTGAAAGGTGTGGGGGGGTGACTAAGAGACAAAATACACAGCTTCTCTAACCTAAGGTTTTTTTTATTTTATTTAAATGAAAATGGATGTTCAGACAGCCCCTGAATGTATGTCTGTGCACCAAGTTATGTTCTTGGTGCCCATGGAGACCAGAAGAGGGCATCAGAACCCCTGGAACAGGAGTTACAGACAATTCTGAGCTACCACACATGGGTGGTGAGAATCTGTAGAACAGGACCTTCTGAGCCATCCCCAGCCTTAAAGATTTTGTTATTGTACTGACTTAAATTTTACTTGCACACCTCAAATTCATCTTGAGTATTTTGAACATTGCACCACCTGGCAACAGGTTCAGGAACCACTTCCCAATCCTCACAGACTTGTTTCAGGATATTCACAAATGTTGACTTCCCAGCAGCTGTCATAAAAAAAAGAAAAGATAAAATTAAGAAAACCTGTTTAAAATGAAAAACATAACCAATGGTCATCAGCTTTTACAAGATTCACAGTGAATGATGCATACACAGAAACAGTAAGACCTTTTTCTTCATCTTTTTTACAAATTAAAATTTAGAGATGGTCCCTAGCCAACTGTGCTAGACAAATTTGTTATTTTTAGTTTACCAATGGCAAGAAACAGAAGACTTAAAACCCTGGTTAAGCTTAAGAAAGATGTTATGACAGGAAAAAAAAATCTTCCTTTTATCCTAGCTTTCCTTAGCCAAGCACTTAGAAAAAGAATTTTCTGGAGAGTGGTAAAGCCTGTCCTTCCAACCAGGTGTGTGAAGTTGACTAAGTCCTGACCATGGTTCCTCGTAACCCAGGAAGACAAGATTGTGATGATCAGTAAAGTGACAGTCGTTCCTAGTCTTTTGTATTTTCAAAACCTTCCTTTCTACCAACTACTTTCTCAGCCTAAAGAACTCACTGAGTGGCCTGCAAGTCTAACTTCCAATTCAGCAGGCTGAAATAAATGGATTCTGAATTCCACGCCAGCCTGGACTACATAATGAGACAAGTCTTTAAAGAAAAAAAAAAAAAAAACTACAGCAGGTGTAACAACACATACACCTATTACTGCAGCACTTGGTAGGCTTAGGCAGGAGGATTGCTCTGAGTTCAAATTCAAACTGGGCTACACAGTGAGTGCTAAGCCAGCCTGCGCTACAGAGTAAGACCATGCCTGCCACCCAAAAAAAAAAAAAAAAAAAAAAAAAAAAAAAAAAAAAAACTTTTTTAAAGGGGAAAAAAAAAAGACTAGAGACCCCAATACAACCAAAATAATTTACCAATAATAAACCAATTAAGAAATAACCACCATAAAAATCATTGTGAAGAGGCATCCAGTGTGTGACTATTATCTGATCTGATCCTAATAAAGCCTATAGCTAACAGAAATTATTTTAAGTCTTGCAATGCATTTCCTATGAGTGACAGCTATAGAAATCTGCCTAAATGTTATGGTTCTGTGTCCTGTCCTCTACTAAAACCTTGAGAGGAAAAAAAAAAAAATGATAGCTTTGCTTTTCCCAAAAGTTCACTAGTCTCTGAGAATATCTAGGTTAGAAAAAGACAAAAATAGCTTATTTGTAATCAGGACATATTACAGTCACCATTTTAGTATCAGCGAGTCTGGACCTTATGACTAAAAGGGCGTAGCATTACTTCTAATGACCACCACACCCTTCCTATCGTAAGTCACCAAATGTGTTTATAAATGAGGCATCACTGGCCAGAATTATTCTTTCTCCCTCTTCCTTTTACTACACACGAGCACACACCCCAATATAGCTTCAATATCTTTGCAAGTGTCCTCTTCCTTATAAAACTGACTCAGGATTGAACCTCTGACTCGCAAAAGTATACTCAAACCTCCAACATTATACAAGACAAGAAGGAATCAGCAAGGACATTAGAAACACAGGCATAGATCAAGGAAATGGGGATGAATAAGGTGACAGAGCAGGTGAAGAACAACACATCAAAGTAATAAATCCAAAAAAGAGAAGAAATAAATGCAAAGGTAATCTGGGTGTCTATTTAGTTGTGGGGAGATGGAAAGGATAAGCTTACAGATAGTAATGCATTGAGAGGAATGACTTAAATAGTCATCGTTCATTGCACTAGGCAGAAAAGAGAACACAATATTCAGGGTAGACAGGAAACACACACTGAAGTATCTCAAACTAGTCCAGAATTTAAAAACACTGAAGGCTATCACATTAAGCCTTCTGACATGGATTTCAACCACAAAAAGCACATGGAGTCATACTTTAAAACTGCTAATGTTAAGTTTTACTTCAAGCTGAGTAATCACAGTCAGTTGCAGTTCCTAAATAATCACTAGCTAGTTCCTTCCTTAACTTTCTGGAGGGAGATCAGAAATGGAAAAAAGCTAATAAACTAATATCCTATGAAGGTGAATGGCCACAATGAGCAAGAACACCTATTAATAGTTTTACAAGTCATGGGAAGAGAGGTGGTGGCACAGGACTTGGATGCCAAAAAGCAGGTAGCACGCTCTGAGTCTGAGGCCAGCCAGGTCTACACAGTGAGCTCCAGGGCAGTTAGGGCGGTATAGTGAAACCATTCAAACAAAACACAACAACCAGTCGTGGCAACAAACAATTCCTAACCCAAGCAATCATCACCATACTAAAAGTCATTCTGAACACAGTGAAATGCACCAATAAAGCCTCCATAAATCTAATCTACGGGAATAGCTCAGTAACACATAACAAGGAAAAAGAGGTTACATGACTATGCAACTAAAAATGACCAAGCGGTCTTCAAGTTTAGGAAGAACAGGAGAATTACAAACCAGTCTTCACGGATTGCACAATTTTTACATCAACAGGTTGTTTGAACCTGACAAATACGATGAGGGGGATGTAAACAACCGTACAAGAGCAATAGGCAACCGATGAAGCCTCCTACTGTAGGAAAGGTAAACAAGTGGTGAGAAACATGTTTAATCTAAATGACAGTTCCTCAGCACAGTTGTAGGGCCAGTTGCCAGTTACCATCAGATTTTTTTTTGCTGGTCAAAGATCTAGATGCTCAAAGGAAATGTCAATACTGGTAACTAATTTTTATCCACTAAGAGGCTATGTATGAGGAGTCTTGCTGGTAAGCTTGACATCTCAGAGAACTTTGAAGAAATAAGGATCTCTTCTGATGGCCTGTGTCTTCAGTGTGGAGGAAGTAAAATGAACACTTGTTTGTGTTTCGGCTCTACTCTCTTGAATGTATCTACATCTGCTTGCCTTCCTAAAGAGTCAGTGCTCTGAATGTAGTACAAATAAAAACATCTGCTGCATTCATGAACAATCAGTACTCAACCTGCAGCTCAAAAAATAACAGTTGTATCAAAACAGGAAACACCAGTAGGCTTCCTGTGGTAGGAAATGTAAAAGAACGGGTGATTGATGTTCACCTTGCAAAATGGCATGCACTGTGTAGTTTACCCCCATGAGGGCAGAAACTCTACTGGTCTTTGAGCCGTACTCCAGTGTTTACCTGTTATGTGGGAAAGGGAGTAAAAAATATTCCAAACTGTCAAAATCATTATTGCTACAAACACCAATACAAAATGTTGACAACCGCGGAATAGATGTAGTATATATCATTCAGTGGGATGTTATTTAAAAGTGGGCCAGGTGTGGTGGTGCACTCCTTTAATCCCATCACTTGGGAGGCAGAAGTAGGCAGATCTCTGAGAGTTGAAGGCCAGCCTGGTCTACAAGGTGAGTTCCAAGACAGCCAACATTACATAGAGACCCAGTCTCAAATAAAACAAAAAGAAAAAAAAAAAGCACTACAGAAATAAACAGCATGAGTGAATCTTAAGCATTCTGGTAAACCAAACAAGACACAGAAAACCTGACACTCTGGTTCTGCTTAGGACATTGTGAAAAACAAAACTTGCATGGATTAAAAAAAAAAAAAAAAGCATGTCAGGGCTTGTAAAGGGATGGATGAGAAGGGAGAAAGAGCTGACTACAAAGAAGCACAAAGGGAACTGGAGAGTGCGGTGACGAAAACAGTCTCAATTCTGAGGTTAAATGGCAAGTCTGGGAAACCTACCGGAAGAGCACACTTAATCGGGTGTCGCTTACCCAAGTTACATCTCAAGAAAAGCAGCCCCCAACCCTCGCGTTGGAAGTTCCCAACAAAGAGGATGCAGTGGCCCAGAGCGCGCCTCACAAAGCCCCGGGCTGACTGGCGCAGAGCCAGACGAGCCAGCGCGCCGGCGCGAGCGAGGCGACGCGGAGGGAACGCCGAGGTACCGGCACCGCAGAGAGGTCGCCTTACCAATGTTCCCCTCAATGGAGATCTTCTTGATGCGTGTCCCCTCAGAGCTGGTGGAGGGAGAAGGACAGAACCTCTTGGGTGGGGTGGCCATGCCTGCTGGCGGAGGCTCGGGCGCGGGAGCTGCAGGAGAAC